GAGAGAGAGAGAGAGAGAGAGAGAGAGAGAGAGAGAGAGAGAGAGAGAGAGAGAGAGAGATGGGAGGCCGAGGAAAGGGGGTGGGCTACGGGGAAGAGGACCCCCGGGGTGGGCTACGGGGAAGAGGAGGGGGTCCTGGGGCGTTGAAGGTGTGAAGCGATTTCATTTTCCTTTTTCTTTCTTTTTTCTTTCCGCTGTATTTTTCTGTGTGTGTGTGTGTGTGTGTGTGTGTGTGTGTGTGTGTGAGAGAGAGAGAGAGAGAGAGAGATTGCATCGGTCAGTTTCATCCACCATAAATGAATCAGCTGTCATATTTGTTCTTGCGAGTGAAGCCGAAACAGGTCATCTAGTAACGGTTATTTCCCCTCCCTTTCATTTTCTCCATGGACGTGTGAACGATAGGCACAAGTGGCAGCAGGCACAGTGATATCGAATGCGAACTACCGAAGCAATGGAACGGATGCAGAAGCTGGCAGCAAAGCAGTTAAAGGTTCGACTGTCAGTGTGCCGGAGACTTGCCAAGGACAAGAACAGCAGGTGTCAGCGGCCTCGGTTGATCATGCAAGTGCAGTGGGCGGAGTTGCATCACATCCGGGCTCAGCGAAGGGTACACCGCTACAGACGTGAGAATACTCCCCGTCGGCCCTCTCCCTCCTACTTGCCCTTCTGTTCTTATTTTAGATTGTTTTTTTCTTGAAGGTGGATCTGGCCTCTCCATCCTTCTTGCCCTTCTGTTATTTTACGTTGTTTTTTTCTTGAGTTGCCGCAAGGTGGATCTGGGGAGACTGCCAGGGTGCGCTACCTGGTAGAGACGCGAGAAAGTTTTTAGGCCCCCTCTGTTTATCACTATCTCTCGCCTTCTTGATTTATTGAAACTGCATGTTCGCTGCATTCTTCTTTGTCCGTCTGTTGGAAAGTGTAGGTTGAACTTTTGAGCTTCATTGCTTGCCTGATGATGGTACTCCTGCCACGCGGTTTCTAGGGTGAGGCGTTGGGGAATAACGGTGACAAAAAGGTTTTGAAAAGGTGGAGGGAAGGAAGAAAGGAAAAAAAGAATGGAGTTGAGGGAAGAAAGGAAAAAAAGAATGGAGTTACGGAACATGCTGGGGAGGTTGGTATAAGGGAACTCGGCGGACAAAGCGAATTGACCTGGAAAGCGATATAGAACAACATTCCCTTACCGAGTGTGTGTGTGTGTGTGTGTGAGAGAGAGAGAGAGAGAGGTTTAGTGCGGCGGTTATTAAATGAGCGAGGACGTACACTTAGGTTGTGTTTACGGTATATGGTACGATGGTCATTCATCGTTTTTCCTTTTGCCCTTTCTGAGGATAGCCCTCTATGCGGTGGTGACGAGAGCACCTTCGGGATTGACGTCTTTCTTTATTTGAGGGATCGTTTCTGTTCCTGCGCAGCTGCGTTTGCCTTGTCCAACGTCCCCTCAGATCAGAACACAGCAATTATTATGATTATTACTCTTTTGACCAGGTAAGTTAGGATCAAGGTAAAGCGATTTGGACAAACGAAAATTGAATTGGGCAATCATTAAACCGAATTGGTCAGTTCAATTTTCGTATTTAGTACATTATCGGAACCGATTTGGACAGCTGATATAGGTTCGGAGAAGTGATGAGCATTTTGGACATATCAGATTTAGGCTGGGAGAAACGATGAGCATTTTGGACATATTGGATATAGGTTGGGATAGATGATTACCATTTTGGACAAAATGATTTAACAGTTTGGACGCATGACAGAGTTAGGCCTATTGATTTAATAAAATTGCCAAAACCACATTTAGTTCAACAGTCAACCGATTTGAGGTTCTGCGCACACTATCGGGACCAACAAAGATAACAATTTTAGTGGAAGCGATTTTGCATGTTAGTCACATGCGTCTGAATCACGGGCCTGCTGCTCCTGTAAACTATTGACCGAGGTGGACGTTCGCAACACACAAGTGAGTGACGCACGATTTTCTGTGGGGCCCACCAATTTATCCGCTCGTCAGTCTAAATCGTTCGGTCCTTTGACGAAAGGCACAGTGGGTCTGTCCAAGTTTCTAGAATACCTGTCCATATCGATTCACAAGGTGTCCAATTCTAATCTACGGTTCCAAGAAGCTTCTACAAAAATCTAAAACGTTTGGACTACGCGCCCGATTCCAATCTACCGGTCCAAGAAGCTTCGACGAAACTCTAAATAGGTTCGCCGTTTCTCTAACCTAGGCGCTCACCAAAAGTGATAAAGAAAAGAAACTGAAACGGTATTCACCTGTTAGCAGTAGCGAATGCAGATCCCAGGGCTCGATCCCCAGTCTTTACCTTACCTGTGTACAGTACCTGTGTTGACCGCGAGAGTTGAACCCGCGACCTGTGTATTCGCAACAGTTGGTAGGCTGTCGTTGGTCCGTAGGTTGTAGGGGTTCAATCTGTAGACCTGTTGGATAGTGGTCTTAGTGAGTCCTAGATGTCGTAGCTGTAGGTGTCCTGAAAGGTCAAGGTCGTAGCTGCTACAGTATTCGAAAGGCCAGGTCTGCAGACTTCCGAAAGGTCCCGGTAGTGACCTTTCCAAGTTTGCTCACGTTTAGACAGAGGCAAGTGGGCAAGTGGTGAGGCCAACTGCCGTACGTCGGCGAGTTGGCAGTGCAAACCCATGCAGTCAGCGGTCCCAGTCAGTCACAGTCCAATCAAGCAAGTACCGTGTGGGACTGTGTGCACCAGGGGCATGGGAAAGGGGCAGACCAACGAGCTACAAAAGTATAAATCAAGAGGCAGCGCCCAGCCATTAATGCATTCCTGCGTTGAGCGACTTGTGCGAGGTGGTCTGCAGAGCGCCCGAAGATGAAGTGGGCAGAGTAGAGGTTGAGTAGCCATAGCCAGCAGGGCTGAGCGGCCATAGCTGCCGTAGGTGATAGGCGAGTGTGGTGAGTGCGTGTTTGAGACAGTGTGTTGCGTGTGGGATATCCAGGGTGATCCTGAGTTCAGGGTGTGTGAACAGCGGATTTGAGCACAGTGACGAACAGAGAGTTGTACAAGCGCTGATAGCCAGTTGAAGCGAGCATGTATCTGAACTGTGTTTCTGACTCCCATATCTCTGAGCTTTGAGTTGGCGGTGAGCGCCAGTGTGACTTGTCATCTGTTTGCATGAATGTGAAGAGGAAGAGAAAGAGAGTCTGATTGCATTGGTATCAGAGCTGGTACCCGCCATTCCTCGTGCCATCGCTATTGAAGGAGAAGTCCGCCATAGCTGACCTGCGAAGGAAGAACAGTGGTAGAGGAGGGAGAGATTCTGTTCTCTTGCTTGCAGAGGCACGTACTGATTTAGTAATCCAGAAGCTCTTTGATAACCCGATCAGCCTGGCGACTTAGTATCCATATTTCATGGATGCTAGCGTCAAGAGTAGGCACGGTAAGAGCCAAGTCATAGTGATAGTTGATAGGTTTAGCAAATATGCAGTTTCTGTTCTCTTGCTTGCAGAGGCGCGTTCTGATTTAGTAATCCCGAAGTTCTTTGATAATTGGGTGAGTGATCACGGGATTCCGCTGTTTATAGTTAGCGATAGAGACACCCGGTTCACTAGTCAGAACTGGCAGGAATTGATGAAAGTATATGGGTCAAAGTTGCAAATGTCATCTGGCCGTCATCCAAAGACCAATGGTCAGACTGATCAAATGAACAAAATCGTGCAACAAGTTCTGCGCATGTATATTAGACTGGATCAGATCAATTGGGATGAGATGTTGCCCAAGGTAGCCAGTGCGTGTAACAATAGCGTACATTTAGCCACCAGGGCTGAGCGGCCATAGCGGCCGTGTGTGAGTGTGCGTGAGACAGTGTGTCGCGTGTGGGATATCCAGGGTGATCCTGAGTTGAGGGTGTGTGAACACCGGAGTTGAGCACGGTGATGAACAGAGAGTTGTACAAGGGCTGCTACGCCATAGCCAGTTGAAGCGAGCATGTATCTGAACTGTGTTTCCGACTCCCATATCTCTGAGCTTTGAGTGGGCGCTGAGTGCCAGTGTGACTTTTCATCTGTTTGCATGAATGCGAAGAGGAAGAGAAAGCGAGTCTGATTGCAAAACCAGTACGCTATTGTTTATGGCCGGATCCCGGCAGGCCCTGCCCATTTCGGTTCACCAGATGTCCAAATAGCGACAGTATGCATCGAACGTAACTGGTCAAAGGAGCATTATTATTATTATTATTATTATTATTATTATTATTATTAAAAACTAACGTATACTCTTCTCTCAATTTCGCCTTTCACTATCTACCTACTACTACTAAGCCTATACAGGGGACCCCTTCAAGCATATTTACACCTCACAATTAAGGGCATGCATGTTGCCCCCCGTCCTAATCGCTGGTGGTGCGGGAGTAGGGTGGGGACGCCAGTTGGGGGGAAGGGCTAACACACAGACCGAGCATTTTGCCAGTAGGTGCGCCTTCCATCTACTTCCCTCACCCCCCCATCAGGTAGCAGCAGTGGCTATGGCCAACACTCTCCCACACACCACACACAACCCACTCAGGCTCACACTCACACCCTTGTTGGTCATAGATCCTACTAGTACCGATCAGGGGTATCAAGGGGACAATCACAGCTGGGTTGCACTAAGTGTGCTGCAGGCGGTCATGGGGCTCGAACCTTCCTGAAGGCCACTTTGGTGCCTAAACAAACGAGCTAGGCCGCTGTGTCAGCAAGTATTATGTGAGACTGCCACATTGAAGTGAAGCGAAAGACAAAGGAAAGAAAGAATGCTAGGATTGGGTTCTGCTCGTCGTGCACTCTGAAGTTGGGCTGGGAAAAAAGTGGGCATACGAATGCAGTTTTTGTACCCTTTCTACAAGTGCAAACCAGAGCAATATTCTGAATTCCGTTTGGCTGGGAAAAAAGGTGGGCATACNAATTCCGTTTGGCTGGGAAAAAAGGTGGGCATACGAATGCAGTTTTTGTACCCTTTCTACAAGTGCAAACCAGAGCAATATTCTGAATTCCGTTTCACTGGGACAGTGTTGCGCTTCAGGTGCAATGTATTGTAGAATGGAGGTCTAAACTCCTGGTTCTTCTCGCCGTTGAGGAAGGCCCGAATTGAGGGCTGCCTGCCGGCCGATTATCCCTGGTCCTTGCTGAGCGATGATGCATCCTAAAGGATGGGTTCGCCGTGTTGGCCGAGCACGCTCCCTCTTGTTCTCCTCCCCCCACTCCCCTCACAAGTGAGATTGATGACTTGTATTGCATTGAGGCCTTTTGTTTTAACTAAGCTATACTCTTCTCTCAAATTCTTTCACTACGTACGTACTACTACTCAGCCTATACCAGGGACCCCTGCAACCATACCTACCTCTCACAGTCAAGGGGATGCATATCATGCTTGCACAGGGCTGTGCTAATCTTCTCTGTACCGAGACCCGTTCTTGCCAATGACTTGTTCCCTCTCATCACATCTGATCCCTCGTGAACTAAGGTGACCCTCAGCAAATCCCTCATGAGGAAAGTGTCGGAGTAACGGCCCACCTATTCCCAGATCCAGAAAAGACAAAAATTATCACGCTGTAGCTTTCCTTCTTTTATTTTTTATTCTTTCTTGATTTATTCGTGTCATCCTTGTGCAGGGCCATG